CAGTATATACTCCTCTTTCCACTCGTGGTTTGATAGAAATGTAGCGCCATCCAGAGGGCTCCTATCAGTGCTGTATAAAGTACCTCAAAGTGATACTTGAGTAAAAGTACAAGTATCTTACCATAAAATTACTTTGGTAAAATGTTAAAGTCTCCTTTAAGAATATTACTTGAGTAAAAGTCTTAAATTATATATTATATTTTGTACTTAAGTATCAAAAGTAAGGAGTAGAAGTAAAAAGTAAGCTGAAAAATAATTACTCAAGTAAAGTACAGATACTCAAAAATTCTACTTAAGTACTGTAAAGAAGTATTTGTACTTAGTTACTTTACAACTCTGGCTCCTATATTAAAGTCCTCGGGCCAGATGAGTCTTGGACGGTGTTGAGAGCACAGAAGAACCATAGAAACTATAAAATGTCCTAAAGGGAGGGAAGTCATGTTCTCTGTGGCAGCCTCTGGAAAAGCACACAGAGATAAATGAGCCTGGAGTTGAAATGTAGGGATCTCAGCACAGCGCCCTGAGGGAAATCGATGTTTGGTCGGAGAAAGTGGGTTTCATACGTCTGTAAGCCTGAGATATGTTCTTTTCACTGTGTTGCTTTGAATGTAGCAGAAAACAAGATTAGCATCCAGAGTGGAGCTCTTTCAGAGTTGTTGCTTTGGCAAACCTGAGCTGCTGTGTGCTGCCAGGTTCAGCCAGCCATGTAAACTGCGAGCATGTCCTCAGGCTCCCCATGAGACAGCCACTGACCTGGCTAATGTGGGCGCTCCCCTCTGCGAATCCTCCGACCAACATTCGAACAGACCTAAACTAAACTTATCAGCACACAATGTCGAGAACAGATTTGACCGCAGCAGCTGATATCACAGCGTCTGTTTTCTCCCTCTTCGTCTTGCCCTCTCGCATCTCTCCTCAGCGCCCGGCTGCATTCTTTGTTGCATTTACTATTTTCGACTTCATTTAGTTTGCCAGCTCAAGCATGAACCTCATCCTTATCTGTGAGCCTCAAGCCACCGTCGCTGGAACAAAGGAAGATGTTTTATATAAAACAGTCGAATTTGATGTCCTACTTGCCTGTTGAGTGTAACGATCCCCCTGGAAATGCACTCAGCCTTAGAGGAAAATACCGACTGTGTCACACGTGTTTCTGCGACATTTTGGATTTCTGCTGCCGTGTTGTCGTACATTTTATTCCTAAATTGATTTATTAAAACACTATTCACAGCTTTTGAAGTGGGGTTCTGTAGAGGTTGTAAACAATTAATATCGCACCTGTTTTCCATCTCCTTGTCACACCTCAGCCCACATATTCTGCAATTTTCAACTGGGTTTGACACACCAGCACTTTTTTTGTTTCATTTATAACTGAATTAAACACATTTTTAAGCTCTTGTGTCTGACGTGCAGGTCTGAAACTCCCTTGCATATTTTAATGCCACCTGGATCAGGTGGGTTCTCTCAGATTTCAAAAGTAGATTTTCTGAAAGAGGTCAACCTGAAGGTTTCAATGTAAAGTACTGATCATGTCCACACCAGGTTACCAGTGAATATGAGTGACTGGCTGCTCATTTATGATCGTTGATCATAAATGCTGCCAACACAGAGCTGTTTCACGTACAGTACTGGTTAAATAAAAAGTGTGTAGTTTTGCTTTGTGTTGCTTCCAGCGTTTGTGAAGTCCTCAGAGCTCAGTCAGCGCAGCTGCGACTGATGGATGCTCACTCGCACACACCCACAAACTGGTACAGCTATCTTTATGGGGACCTGGCATTGACTTCCATTAATTTATACATCCTAACCCTAACCCTGACTTTGACTTTAACTTTAACTTTAACTTTAACTTTAACTTTAACTTTAACCTTAACCTTAACTTTAACTTTAACAATAAAGCTCTGTATATGTTATATAACACACTAATTGTTCCACACTTGGTTTATTGTGTTGAGGTGTGGGGGAAAGCATGTAAGACTATTACAAATCCTGTGTTTGTTTTGCAGAAAAGAGCTATAAGAATTATCACTCGAAAACATTACCATTATATATCTTATATATTATTTTGTAAATTGAAGTTATTGGAATTTTACGATTGGGTTGATTATAATATTTTGTTAGTTATGTATAAGGCTCACAAAAATAAATTACCTTTAAACATCTGGAAAATCTTTGCAGAGAGAGTGAGAGAGAGAGAG